CAGCACAAATGTGATGTGCTATACATTGTATCAAGCGAAACTAGACAATGTCCGTCTAGACAATACGTCTGCAGTGTGCTGTGGAGCGTTTAGTACAGGGGCCGTGTACAGGGCGGGGGGGCGCGTCCAGGGGTCCAGTACCCCCCTCCCCTTCGCGTGCTCGCGATGTTTCGGTTATGGTTAGACGCCCCCCCCCGGTCACAAACCTGGTACAGCGCCCCTGTATGTAAAAAGAACGCGAGCGGATTGTGAGTTCGAAGGCCAACCAATCTGTTAAACACTTACTATCACAAAATTGGGATACCAGATCTTTCTGGGGGGGATACCAGAATTTCAAATACCTGCCATGCATGTGTATCCCGAATGGATCACCATAATAAAAATCTAATTTCGACCTTGATCATTCAAGACCATAAAGTTTTATTAAAGGCCTCTTTAAGTGATATCTTATAAATGTCTAATTTTTACAATTATTTGATGCTAGTATCATAAACGTAATATAACCAAAGCATTCGTAGTTTATTAGTTGGCCTCTGTTGATATGTTAAAGCAGCAGTCTTTATGTTGGTCCTATGAATGTTGAAAATCAAATCTTCTGCCAAACCGGCCACCTGGCGGGAAAACGGCTGTGACGTGAGACCAGGTTCTTCCCGCGTTGCGCCGCACACAAAGCCTGCATCAGTGCATGAGCACAAAGCTATCATCGGCTGTAACTTATATTGGGCATAAACATCCAACTGCCATATATTAATTATCATGAGCATGATATATATATACATATATATATGCATTGTAAACTTTACTACCGGATTAAACCACATTAATATACACAGACAATAAAATCGGTTCCAACCATATTCATATGCTGCTTTACTCAGCTCATGCCAATCTGCTCACAGTGTATACGCAATACGTTTTTGTTCTACTTTCTGTTTGTTCGTGGACCGCGGTTAGTTTACGTTACAGGACAGCTGACCTCAGGGTTAAACACTACCTGCATATATTGATTATTATACTCGTACTGTATACACTGAGTTTCTTACGATACAAGTACTAAATGCACATTACACGTGAAATAACATTGTTACTATTATCAAGTGCATAAATTCTACGTAATAAGTCCTGTCATAATTTCCACTACGCTAAAACATTTACTATTGACTATTGGCATATTGCCAGCTTTGCTTTTCTTTAGTCAGGCCTACTGTAGTACTGAGGCTACTCTCTTTAGAAAATTCGTCAGTATTGTAGAATGGGAAATCTGACAGTTGCATAATCTGTTGGAAAAAAACTTGGCTATAGGCCTATTTAGCTTGTACCGAAAGCAAAAACATTTCATTATGTACACCTAGTACCTACAATGAAATACTGAGCTAAACTCACCATTCAGCGACACTTCCATTCAGCAGTCTTCCTTCTGCTGGTTCGACGTTGCCTTGAACATTGGCAACAAACTTGAACAAGGCATCGCACGTTGCCTTGGCACGGTTGCCTTAAACGATGCCTGGGTAATCGTAGCTCCAAGAAACGGTATTGCTAGGGTTAGAATATCCATTCCGTCCGTTGTATAGACAATCCGTCGCACAGCCTGGTCGGGCTAGGGTAATCGTTGGCCAACGGTTCAAACATGTACGCGGCTGAATACAACTATCTTCAACATGTTCGACTTCATTGTCTATGTCTACTTCATTTTCATCTTTATCAATACTGATTGACTAGCTGCTCATCCGTATCGTACGAAACTGATATTAGTCCAGATGAGACGGGATACTAGAGAAGCGTTGCCGAAAGGAGTTGTTGATCCGAAGCGCTGAAGCGCAGATCTTTCGCGCAGTTCCGCGGCAAGGCGCACGCGACCGCGGGAACGTCCTACGACAGTATGCAGCGCTGGCAGCTATGGATCCGTGCGCCGAATGAATTGGCGGGTTGGAGCGGGCGCACGGATCATTAGGTCGTGCAGCGAACAGTCCGCAAATTTAGCTTGGGGACACAGACGGGTTAGAATTGTGGGACGTGAACAGTGGTTCACTTGTTATAGAATAAACTGTAACCGATGTAAATCTGTTCGTAACCGAGCTGTGTCACCGCGAAATACAGAAGGACTGTCGAATGTCTGACATTCCCGCGGAACTTCCAGTAATCGAACGCTGTAGAATCACAAACCCTACCGGGCTCNAGTATACGCGCAGCGCGCTAGCAACACGCTGTGCATTCGTTGTCAACTCGCTAGCTTCTCCCAAATCCTGACAAAAGTTGGGCGCACAACGACGCACTGATCAATTTTCCATTTTTTGATTAATTTTCAGTGCGCGGGCCGTGCGTCGTGTATGTGTGACTGGGCCTTAACCAAACGTCACTTTGATCAACGACTGCGCATACATAGCCTGTGCACGTCTGTTCTAATTTATGGCATAAACTGGTACTCGCTCCCAACGAGCAACTAAGCCGAGAGGTGGGAGCGAGTACCAGTCTAATTTATGGCATTGCGTCGTGTGAATTGCGGTCCTAAAAGCAAATGGATCATTAATAATAACAGGAGTGTATCAATATTGATACACTCCTGATAATAATACGGTGTTCTGAACACGACTGTGTAATTAATTTGTAAATTGAATTGTATTGAATTGTAATTTGAATGTGATGTATATTTGATAGGTATATCACTACTGTTATTATTCAGGGGTGGCGCCACGGTTTTCAAAGTGGGGGGGCCCAATTGAGAGAACGAAGCGACCATGCCGGGGGGCTGAGTTATTTGGGCGCGAAGCCTAGGTATCCCCCATACCATGGCAGGGAGCTTTTTCAATTTTTGCACTGAAATGAAGCGATCTGGTGCACATCGAAGGTGAAAATTTCAAATTTTCAAATGGAAGAAAAACGGAAATAACACCATTTTAGTACATGTCTATGTACATGTCAATTATAGTGAAGTATATAATTTGCATTAATATGAATACTTGTAATAGGAATAAAGAATATGAAATAGTGAATCTTTTTCAGGGCGTACAGAAATTTCCATTTTCTTCAACCTGGTAATAGTCAAAAAATAACATTGCTGAATGATATTTAAATCTTAACACTTATAACATCACTCGACTAGCTATTATCTTTAGTTTATGTTCATGTTGCTGACAACAGTTTTGCCTTTAAAAACGCAAGCTGCTAGGATATTACATAAAGAATACATCAACTATTTATTAATTAAAAAGACTTAAGAACTAAAGTGCAAATTAAACTAAAAGAAGAAAAGGAACTATATAAAATATATACATAAGCCTAACTAACACAGACCTTGAGCTTGCAGGCTTCAACTAAGAATAAACAAGTTCGTCTTACAGAAACAAGACTATTCATAAATAAATATCAACCATCTACTTAGATATAAAGTCCCAGAAAGCAGAGGTGACCCATGAAAATATATAATTATTTTATATATTTCAGATTTTTAATTTTCTCTGTACTAATGATGTTCTACCAATGAGTTGATGGTTACACATGCATTACTGAAACCTTAAAATATAATATTCACTTCCAACTCCAACTAGAAACATATGTCTTAACCCTAACCCTGTAGATACCAAACTAACATTATTTGTATTACAAATTGGTTTTCTGTACAAATTCAACATGTGGTACTGAATAGTTTATTTATGTTTCTCTGCTCTAAAGGTCCTTAAGGCTCACAATGCGCATCCAAACGCTAATATTTTTCCAGTACTAGACTAGTAAATACTTCGTGTCATGCATAATCATACTACCTTATG